CTATCCCCCCCCCCCCCCCCCCCTTGTCTCTCCCCAGAAACCTCCCCCCCCCCCCCCCCCCCTTGTCTCTCCCCAGAAACCTCCCCCCCCCCCCCATCATCTTGAATTGTATATAGTCTTTTTATATAGAACTGTGATTAGCTAATTTTAAGATGGATATTTATATTTTCATTGTTTTTACTGTTTTGGATTTTAATTGTGAACCACCCAGAGTCACCCTCTGGGGGAGATGGGCGGCATATAAATTAAATAAATAAATAAATAAAATTGTGTTAAAAAATATTTTATTATCCTTTGTTGGACTTGATACCTGCATAAGATCAAAACAGAAATATTTTACAAAGGCGGAAATAATAATAAAAATATTATTTGTTGGGTATAAATATAATAATAATAATTATTATTATTATTATATTTATACCCAACAAATAATATTTTTCAGGCCTCTTTTACTTAATTACTAACTAGTTCTTGATACGCTACAAAATGATAAAGTGAAATTTATCTTAAGCCTGTCAGGACTTCAGATGGAAATAGTTTTGCTTACAATTGTGTATAATTCAGTCTAAAGTCTCAGTTTTTGGGGGGGCATTTGAGAATAAGCAGACTTTGTATGTATATTCATAAATTGTGTATTGCAGCTCAGAATAAGACAGCGGAAATATCTGGTATAAATGGAAAACAACATAAGGATAGGTTCCAGCAGAACTGCTGGATCTACTAAAATGCTTTTTTATGTTTTAGTATTCTGCTTGATTAACTGCATTATCTTTTCTTTTTCAAGTTGGCTATTCAACTGTAGCAATCAATTATGTTGTCGATTATGAAGAAAAGAAAAAAGTAAGCCTTCTGTCTGAAACATTTATTCTTTATGACCTTATGTGGTTGATGCCCTTTGCAGGCTATAGGTGTGACTTCCTTGTGCAATTGTAAAGAGTGCTAGAGCAGAACAAACATGATGAGAGTTGTGTGATTTCTGCGCAACAGATAATCAGTTTGCTTTGCTTTGTTTTACAACAACAAAAAAAAGCACATCTTCTTTGAATGGCTAGAAAAATGACTAGGCAGACTGTGCTGGGTTAAGAAACTGGTGTTTTTAACTGGACAAAAGATGGTGGGATGTTTGTGTCTTGGCAGTGATAAATCTTTGCGTGGCAGCAAAGTGAGCGTGGAGACAGTTGGAATCACTCTGCGAACCAGCCATGAGAATGTAGAGAAAGGTATAGCTGCTTGAATAATTCAGCAAGGCGTTCTGGGTGCAAAGCCCCTGTTTCAAAGGGTTTGCACAGCCTTACTTGGAAAACACTGGTATAGAGTGGTATATACAAACTTGGCAACTTTAAAATGTGTGGACTTTGACTCCCAGAATTCTGTGGGGGGGGGTTCTGGGAGTTGAAGTCCACACATCTTACAGTTGCTGAGTTTGAAAAACACTACTTTATACAGAGTCTCCTACATGCACACACATCGCTGATGTGACAGAATTCACTGTTCCTGGCTAGAGATGATGGAAGTTGCGCTTGAAGACATCCAGAGGGCTTAAATTTGAAGAAGGGCCTGCTAGTTAATGATTATCTATAGCATCCAAATGCTTGTATCACAAGGCTTCACATTCTTTCAAATTGGGGTGGCAGCTGAACTGCATTTCGGTCTTTAAGAACACATAAATATCTATCTTGGCAAGTATGAAAGTGCAGTAAACTAAAACAGTCCCATGGTGAGCATGCTTGAATCATCAGCATTTTTTCAGTCCTGTTGGTGTCAGTGAGAATAAGGTAAGGAAGCAGCTGGGTTTTGCGAAATTTCAGATTCATGAATGGTGGTTAGTTGATGCCCGTTGTGGGTTGTTACTCTTAAAAGCAAAACTTTCTGTTGCTTAACTGACGCCTAAGCCACTTATCCATCAAGTATAGGCTATTCAGTGGTTTGCAGAATTGATTAATATAGATCAACCATGGATGACTGTAAAAACAAACAAAAAAAGTATTGGCTATCGAAATAGCTCTTCTTGTTAGTTGGCTTTTTTGCTGTTTATTTCACAGGCCTCTTTTCAGTATAGCTTTGCTTACATGCTATCTGTGTTTGAGATTTTTTTTTTCTTTATCTGTCTGTAGATGCATTTGTGATTTTTTTTCCTTTATATCTGTTTCTAGGAAATTGTCAAGCCACTGTCTCCCACAGAGCTGTTTCCAGCCTTGCCTCTTGTACAGGTATGGCTATCTAAAGATATCACCTGGCAGACTTCACAGAGGCTGTGATAGTGTTTGTGTTCCTTGGAAAGAAATCCCATTGAACTTTCACGCCCAGGAAATATGGTCTGGTCTGCAGACAGCAAATATGTAGAATGAGCTGAATGCGCTTAGAATGGGGATGATGTGCCTTTTACAAAAAAATTGCTTAGAGTTCTTGGGATTGAAGTGATATAGAAGCATTTGGAATAAATAACTGCTTTCTTTAAAAATCCCTGCAAATCCAAAGCTGGCATCTAAGGAGAAGATCCTAGGTTAGCTGGTTCCCTCTTATATTGGCTTTATATTTGTATGGAGGCTGTTGTTGTTTTTAAAAAAACTTGAATAGTTCTTCAGTTCTGTTTATAACTGGATGCAATCAAATCCATTTCACCATTTCATATAGCCTCATTCTGCAACATACGTAGTATGTCTGCACAAACTATTTGAAAGGGTTTTTTTGCCTAGGGTGTGGGCACAAGCAAAGCACCTTTCCTGGAACCATGAAAGCAGCCATGATCTCCAAAAGGGTTGGTGTGCATTGTAATGGTATGTGGGAATGGCCTTGGGAGACAGGAGGGAGCGCCGCAGACTGGACAACCGGCGTGTAAAAGATACCTCAGCCCACAGAAGGGGGGCTGGCATGGGAAATGTTTCAGAAGGACCCTCCCTAGTTTTCCAGAAAGTAAAAGGAAAGGAGGGGAGATATACTTTCAGTCTTGCAAGATTCTTCTAATGTAACCTTACAATAAAGACAGAGCTAGTAGCCCTGGTTGTGCTTCTTCCCTGGACTACCTCGCAGTGCTAACAGCACACACAGACTGGCAACTTTTCCCCGGTGAGCACCCATTCCAGCTGTGGAAGTCCCACTTTCCAGTGGATGCTTCCCTTATGCAATGAATCACCACTCTCAGATGCTTTGCACAGCCCTGTTGTTTCGGTCACATTTATGTTTAGGGTCAGGATGGGGAACTGTGCAAATGTTTTCCAGATTAGATCATACCCAGGCAAAGCAACTCCAGGGAGATTTTGAGTCCTCTAACTTGCATAATAGGTTTTAGGCTTTAACTCCCCGGGATGCCAAATCTGTTCCCCATAGGTTTTGGAGACAGTATTGGGACAATTTAATTTAAATATAAATTTCATTGACATTAAACTAACGAGCTGTGGATGTTGTGATTATTCCTGATTTGTTTAATATAATATTCTTCCTTTTGTCACCTTCTGAGGGTGCTTCTCACAAGACTCCGGATTTGCATTTTTAGCCCCTGAGCTGTACTTCTCACTCCTCAACATTTATTTGGTTTTGTCTTGTATGGTTTATTATGTTGTTATCTGCCCGGAAGCCCTTAAAACTGGGGCAAGATTTATTTACTGGAAAGTAAATAAATGTCCAACAGCTGTGGCAGAATGCCCTGTGACTCTTGCTCTGCAGCTGTTGACTCAGGTATGATTTATTTAGGGAACGGGCCACACAGAAAACCTTGGCCCATCAAACCTTTGGCATTATACTTGCCCTTGTGCTGGTCTGGGCAAACGTTAGGTTGGCATACTGGAGGTCTGGGCTATTGATGGGCAGGATGACATTTTAATCCTCGAAGGGTCCAGCCCTTAGGGTTAAATGAAATTCATGTGTCCATGTCTTTGTGGAAGGGTTGTGTAGGGTAAGGAAGATGACCTTAATGGAGATATGCAGGAACCATTCCTTAGCCAAAAGGGACTGAAACTTTTTTTTTAAATCCCGAGCAAAGTCCAGATAACATTAGGAAGTAGCTGAGGGGACAACCTCCCGAATTCACTGGGGTATGAGAAGGAGATTTGCAAGATTCTCAGTAAAAGTAGTTTTAGCTTTCTTGTGATTGCCTGTTCGGGTCTACCTAATGGGGCTGACAGGTTACCCGTGGACTCCGCCATTTAGACCAAAGCCAAACCAAACGAGAGCAAGGAGCCACTGATGGGGCTGGTCCTATCATTAGGTAAACTAAGGCAGTTGTCTCTGATGGGAGGTTTACAGGCCTGTGTGTGGCAGGAAATGATCAGTCATTTGCTTTATTATAGTTTTACTTCCACAGATATGGAGAGAGGCTTGTGAAATTTACTGCCTTTGTCAGCTTCAATCCAGTGGGCCTTTTGTTGCCTTGTTTCTATGCCAAAATGTATGTCATCCTCAAGGGGAGAACTCTTCTAGAGCCTTTACTATCACCATAAGTAGGAATTGCCAGTTAGAACCAGAAGCATCCATGGGTAGGAGTCAAGATGGCAGCCACGACTGTGTGATTAAGCCCCACCCCTTTTTATAGGAGTTGCATGTGTGACATACGTAGAGAAGGGGCGAAGCTTCAGTGTCAGCAGCATCTTGTCTTTTTTGGTCTCTCCTGAAGACATCTCTGAGCGGAGCAACTTTGAGGAAGCTTTAGCTCGTATTAATAAATAAATAAATAAATAAATAATATTCGTGTGTGTGTGTGTGTGTATACACACATGCACATAAGAACAGGAGTGGAAAACAAATTGAGAAGTACAGTATTAAATGATAATACAGAAAACGAAACAAACCCTAAAATAATTAAAACGTAGAACATCCCCCCAAATTAAAAATAACCTAACGCAATTGGATATGATTGACTGATTGATCTATCAGTTTTATACAGTCACCCATCCCCCAAATGTGACTCTCCATCAAAGCTCAGTGGTGCCTTCTCAGCTGCGGCCCTGAAAACTGATGGAGGTTGTATAGCAGGACAAGAATGTCGTGGAAGGAAGAGGATCTTTGTGGAGCTGTGTTTGCTGTCAACGTGGGCCATCTGGTTAGGATCCCAGAAGAGATTAAGGGAAGGGCACATCTCTGCATTGTCTCTGTGGCAATGAAGATTTGTGTAGGCTCCGGTTGGGAATAAAGGATCCTTCTTCATTTTTGTATTAATGATGAGTAGGAGTCTTGTTGCCAAGGATGCGTTTCTCACAGGCTTTTCCTTACAGGGGAAATCCAAGCCAATTAAGATTCTATCAAGGCTGACACTTGTGGTGTCTGATCCGTCCCACTGCAACGTCCTTGTAAGTTTACAAAGCAGTTGGCAAGCTGCCTTGCTTCACCGTCCTTTGTTGAGGAAGGGGTTTGGGAGATGTCTTGTGGCTCAGTGGTGAGAGGCAATCGCTGAAAGCTGTTTTCTCTTTCTCATACTGGAATAGGAAAGGGTAAATTTTAATGTATTGTTATTATTTCTTGGGAACTAGTCATAATCATGTAAAGAAGCTCTGATAGAGCTCTTTAGAAATATTTTCCCACTTTAGACTTGTTAATAACTGTATTTCTCAAAACATTGTTTAGAATAATTAATTATACTGTATGAATCCTAACCACTTCCTTATTATAGAAGTGAGCACATAGATAATACAGTATAATAAGATAAGAAATAGTATTTTTGCAAGTGGTCATATGAAAATTATATCAAGTCATTCTGAGGTGGATTTTTTGTTCACTCAGCAATTCCATATGTGCCGTTTCTAAGATGAACCTGGTATCTTCCTCACTTAAATTAATTTTCAAGCAGGTTGGCGATGAGCAAGAATGGTTTTATGGATATTCCATAATATTTACCAACATCGATTTACTTTTGACTCATAAAGTGAGTTTTACATTAGATTAACATAAAGTCCCTAATCTGGGGTTGCTTCATGGTGCTTCAGTAATTATCAAGACACCTTTAGAGATGTTCTGTCTTCATGTTGAGCTAAGAGTTGTATGAAGAGTCTTTGTTCCACTCATAATTGTTCTTTATTCTGCTTGATTAATTTCTCAGTGTTAACAACAGCTTTGATATTGAATAAGTTATAAATGCAGCCTGTTGTTTGGCCACTGAACTACACAATATTAGTATGTGAAACATAAACTACAAACCCTCTTCCTTTTTAATCTGATAAAGGCTTTACAGGTTATATTTTCTTTGTGTTGCTTTTTTTTCTATACCTAGAGAGCGACGTCCACAAATATCAAATATTACGACATCTTTGCTGTATTTCCTAGGAATGCCAAACTCTTTCACGTAAGTGGGCCTTTCCCTGGCACAGGAACTGAAATATAAATGACAGGGCAAGAGAAGAAAGATACGATGAATGCCGTTGGGGCTCATACCAAGTACAGGTAGTCCTCGGGTTACGACCCTAACTGGGACTGGAATTTCCATCACTAAGCAAAGCGATTGTTAAGCAAAACGTCACGTGACTGCTCCTGGAGACCCGGCCTATGGGCTTCAGTGAGGGGTGGAGGCGAGCCCAGCACCGACGGAGCCTACCCGCAGGCCCTCTGGTCACTCGGCCCAGCCTTCCTCCTACAAGTCCTTGCAAAAGGCCAGCAGCTTCCAATGTGAGCTGCAGAGTGCACACTGTGCCTCCAGGAAGCCCTTGTCCTCTGCCCCCTCCAGTTCTGCTGCCACCCCAAACAGTGCCTCCCACACAGCTGCCACCTTTGCCCAGGGAGCTGCCACCTCTCCATCCTGTCCCACGGTCTACAGGCTGTCACTTCTTCACGCCAGCGCCAGAAGATGGGGCTCCTCCGCACTGCTGCCTTGCCTCCTCTGCCAGCTCTGTCCTGCTGCCTCTTCCCCGGCCAGGCCCGGTGAGCTCCCTTTGGCAGATGAGGCTCTGCCCCCCTGCTGTGCTTGCGGCGTGCATCCCCAGGCTGCACCCTCGCCCAGCGCTTGGCTCCTGGGCCAGCAGTGGGAGGAAGATGATGGCGAAGGTCAGCTGGGGGTGGTGGAGTGCCGGGTGGCCAAAAGGGCAGAGATGTTGGGTGGAGATAGGCAGGTGGGGGGAATTGAAGCAGAGGCAGTTCGCGCAGGGCAGGAGAACATGACTGGGATGCTGTGACCAGTCATAAATGCAGGCCAGGTGCCCAAATTTTGATCGTGTGACTTCAGGGGCACTGCAGCAGGCAAGAACTTTGAGGACCAGTCATAACTATCATTTGTTCAACGCTGAACGAATGGTTGTAACCTGAGGAACACCTGTATCCATAGCTATTTCTCACTGAGCCCTTGTTTGCAATTCACCTATTGGGCCCTGAGTCCTTTGCCTCAGGTGGAAAGAAGTTCTCCCATATAGTGCAAAATTATTCTTTGAAGGAAGTGTTTGGGATTCTAGACAGGCTAGGCAATTCTTTCTGCACTAATGGCTGCATATAGCAAGTGGAACAAAATTTACATATTTTTCCATTGCACTTCCTTTGAAATTTACTTAGCGATTTGCATGGCAATTAAATACAGTTAATTAAATATAGTTAATACGATTACTCTCCAGTCATGTTCTTAATTATTTCTACACTCCAGGGCACAGGGGGTAATGGTGGTAGCATGTGTAAAAATTTGCAAGATGGCAGGCACGGGGTTGCAAGCGAAGCCCCGCCCCTTTTCCATGTGCCTGAAGCTTACATCTTTAAAAGTCTCCCCCAGAGTTCCTAATTATACAAATTGTGTCATGTCTAGCTGTGGTTGTGAAATCTTTTTTTTTAAAAAAAGAACAACTAGTTGCCTTCTGGGAGAGTTGTCACAAATCAGCCAGGAATTTGGGGCTTTTGTGTAGTGTTTGTGGTAGAGCTAATATTCCATAATCCAGCAGATGGCGCTCTTGCTTTGGTTATGGAGACCTAGAGTTTGTCCCCAGAGTCTGGCAGCAGTGAAGGAACATTTTGCTTTTTCTATGCCAATCCTAAATGTTACATTTCTGCAGAACTTGGAAAAAATCAGGCCCTTGTTCCAAAATAAGTTTTCACAGCGTATGTGATTTTGATGAACCTTGGCATACAGTCTTGTTTTCAGGGGAACCCTTGAAGAAGACTGGCCCTGTTCGATTGCTTTTTCTGTGCTGATTTTTAAAAATTACCTCTTTTTGAAGAACGATGCCGATCAAATGTCAGGGAATGGCAGAATGTACGTGGGAATCTATTCATAAAACTCTTGAGTGACTCACGGGGAAACCAAAAAAGATTTCTCGATCTCAGCTAACAATAGCAGCCACTAAAAATATATTTTCCCTAGGTTAGGTTGCTGAGTAGGAAAAGATGTGGGGTTAGGGTTAGGGTTAGGAGGAATGGATTTTTGTATGAAATGACTTGTGAACTTAGTCCTACCACTGATCACAAATTCCTGGGCTAAGCCTACGCCCAGAAGTACACCCTTCTGCCGTTTTTAGCGTATTTAACCCTGCCTGCCTGCAATGCAGAGGAGGAAGTACCACAAGAGTCAAGATGGCAGCTGTGTCTGTGCAGTCAAGCAAGTGGGGCTTTGAGTCACAACTGCCGCTTAAACTTTTTAACATCCCCCACCCCACCCCCCATGGATGCCCTCCCTGCAGCACTCTTGTCCTAGCTTTTGGCTGCTGGATTTTGGGAATGTGGATAAAAGGGAGGGGTTGGAACGCCACCATTTTGAAATTGATCTCCCCCTGCTCTAAAGCACAAAGGGAGGTGGTAATTAATGAAATTACAAATTGTGGATGGTATGAAAAGGAGGCTATGCCTGCTTTCCGAGTTCTCTGGATGCTAGCCTGGTCAATTAGGTTTCCCACTTGCTTCCCTGCCCCAGTTAGGACTGAGTGACCATTCAGTCACCAGATTTGAGAAGTGGGAATGATGGCACACTATGTATGTCTCTTACCGGCCCTGAGGGCTCAGAAGAGAAATCTCATGGTTGTGGGTGGAAGTTGTGGCCTTTCCACAGAGCCTCTCCCCTCTCCTAGAACTTGGAAGCGGCTGAAAGTTTGCCTTCCTGTTTCTCAGTGCAGGGATGAGCACCTGAAACCCTCAGGATCCTGAAACCCATTTTGGCAACCACAGATCCCTCTCCGTCCTCACTTGCCCAAGACGATAGTGCTACTTCCTGCCATTTTAAAAAGGAAACACGTTGAAATTATAGGGTCACCCTTGAAACAGGCTTAGCGTAGCAGGTTTTTCTTTTCTTTTCCTTTTTTTTTTAAGGAAAAAGAAAGCAAAACTGTATCCCAGAATGAAGGAAAAAATGGAAAATTCTCATATTCTTCTGCATCACACAACCCCACCTCCGTGACAGCATTTACTTCTGGGGGCCTCAGCCTCTTTCCCCAGCGTTAAGTGGTACACTCTTGGCTACCGTCAAACTTTCGCCCCTCCAAGTTCTAGGGGAGAGGAGAGGCTCTGTGGAAAGGCCACAACTTCCACCCACAACCATGAGATTTCTCTTCTGAGCCCTCAGGGCCGGTAAGAGGCATACATGTGGTGGCTCTAGGACAACTCCATAGATCTAGAGCAGGAGTGCCAAAAACGCTGGCCCACTGAAACTCCTTTTGCAGCTCACAGCCTTTTTGTATGTATACATGCATTTTGGGGAATTGGAGAAGCTAAGAAACAACATTTTAGCCTTTAATTCCCTCCCCACATTTTACCCTTTACTGCCCCCCAAAACTGCTGCCAGAAATGGGTCATGACCGCATCAGGTTGGGTATGGCTGCCAAGCTGATGGAAGTTGGATAATCCTGGTTTGTGGCTTGTTCTGCATTAGAAGATGGGAGACTCCAACTTGGTCTCTGAGTATAAATGTTCCTGCTGAATATTGTGCTGATCCTGTTGGAAGAACAGGTGTCATTTCTGCATAGAACAGTATCTTTTGAAGTGTATTGTGTGACCGTGTGTTTTCATGTTGATAATTTAGGTGGCATGCACAACCTTAGATGTAGACCTGGTGTGTGTTGATGTGACAGAAAAGCTGCCCTTCTTCATCAAGAGACCATCTGTTAATGTGGTAAGGGGGTCCTTTAATAAGTGTCTTGAAGCTTCTCTTTTGCTAGGTTTTTTTTTAGATTTTTTTTATCCTGCCTTTATTATTTTTATAAATAACTCAAGGTGGCAAGCATGCCCAATCCTCCTTCCTCCTCCTATTTTCCCCACGCAACAACCCTGTGAGGTGAGTTGGGCTGAGAGAGAGGGACTAGCTCAAAGTCACCCAGCTGGCTTTCATCCGTAAGGCAGGATTAGGATTCACAGTCTCCTGCTTTCTAGCCTGGTACCTTATCCACCAGACCAAACTGGCTCTCTAGTTAGGAGGTAAGTGGGAACTAACACATTACAGGCTGCTTTCACATGTAACAGTAAACCCTGTTGTGATTTAGTAAGATTGCAACGGGTTAAATTTAGCCCCACACCTGGGAATAAACTGCATGGTTTTTCAACAGCCACCTTCATTTAGAAGCCAGGACTTGTAGTTTACAAATACTA